ATGTCTTCTCACAAGACTTTCAGAATCAAGCGATTCCTGGCCAAGAAACAAAAGCAGAATCGTCCCATTCCCCAGTGGATTCGGATGAAAACTGGTAATAAGATCAGGTACAACTCCAAAAGGAGGCACTGGAGAAGAACCAAGCTGGGTCTGTAAGGCATTACACGTCATGAGATGACACACCTAACTGGCATACATATTTAATTAAGCTGCGTGAAGATCATGTGTTCTATCATTCTGTAAACATCCTTCCTACCTGGCCACAGACTTGTCTTATCATGGAAATGATTTTTCTCTCTGACTATGCCTCTGCACCAGTAGGTTGGTTCAGTAATAAATGTGAGACCTCTCAGCTCTACTACTGTTGTGTTTCTGATTTGCGAAGTACTGAATTCCCCACCTGTCAGATCATGCACAGCACTGTCAGAACTTCCTGCAGTGATAGAAATGTCCCTTGACAACCAAGTATGTAAAGTGTGGCTAGGGGGTGCCTGGGTGGCTCAGCGCCATAGGCCCAGGTCATGATCTTAGGGTCCTGGGATCGGGCTCCCCACTGAGCAGGGTATCTGCTTGCCCCTCCCCTGGCTCGAGCTCTCTCTTCTCAAATAAATAAAATCTTAAAAAAAAAAAAATAAAAGTCTTAGAATCTATTTCAAAATCAAAAAGTTCTTTGTAAATTTCTTATGAATATTGAAATTTTACATGTTACAGAAATGGACTCACATGGATAAAGTTGAGAGAGTACTTTTCCCACATGTTACTCAAACTTAAACATAAGTTTGCTAAGTAAATTATTTCATTATTTTAAAAAGCCAGGCTCTATAGAGGTAAATTTAGCAATCTCCAAATGTTCCCTCTCAGAAGTTACATGCTTTATACATAGCACAGCATTCTAAATGGTGTTTCTCTCTTCTAGCCCCATTTCTGGTACTTCACTTATGCTTAAACATCTCTGGATATCTATTTAAAAACCAGATAGTAAACTCCTAAAGGACAAGAGCATGTCTTATATTTGCCTTCCCATAAGAACAACCAAGCACAGTACTGGTCACAAAATAGGTATTAATCCACTTGGATGCTAAAAAATACTCTAACTCATGTCATAGATGTTGTAGTAACCAGTTGAGTTACTACTCATGTCTTGTTATATAACTTAAGCCTATCTTAAGCCCTTCAAGAGACAACTAATAAAAGAAAAAATTCCCCAAATAATATTGTATGATAAACATTTTTATGTGAATAAAAAATGCTTAAGACTAGATTAATACTTAAAAAAATATACTGCATTGTTTCTTTAAGAAAGAGTATGAGATGAGAAATCATAGTTCTAATATTGTGATGTTAAATAGACTGTTTTCTTGGAATGCCTGGTGGCTCAGTCAGTTAGGTGTCCAACTCTTGGTTTCACCTCAGGTCAGGATCTCATGGGTTATGGGATCCAGCCCCATGTCCCCGGCCAGTCCAGCACTCAGCAGGGAGTGAACTTGAAAAATTCTCTACCTCTGCCCCTACCCCCACCCTCTAAAATAAAATCTTTTAAAAAAGATTTTCTTAAAATAGTTGATAAATGGAAGCACACCACTTCCATTTTGCTTGTTTGTTCATATACCTGCACCAAAATGTTATGTTTCTTATAGATACTAACCCTACAATTTCATTCGTTACAATTTTTATTTAAAAGAACTTTTGAGTTTTGTTTTTAACTAACCTTTGGAGCAGAAAGTTAAAACTGATATGGTTAACTGTAGGCTTTCTTTAAAGTATAAGCACTGACTAACCTCTAGGCTAATTCCAAGATAAATGTCTCAAAATTAAAAACTTTATTATGAAAAAAAGATGCTAAAAAGACTAAGGATGAGCGGTGGGTGGGTGGGTGGGGGTATGTGTGTAGTGATCTGAAGGCAGGCTATCAAGATAGTTTGTTTAGGGTACTCCCCCCCCCACATACACACACACTAATTTTTTTTTAAATTGTTTCCAAAGCACTGCCTTTTTAAATTACCATAATCTGTGAACAAAAAGATATTATGCCTAAGGGAAATTCCATAGTACAAGCACCTGCCAGCCAAACTGCCTAAAATTCATCAGCGGCAGAGATTAAAAGCATCCTTTAGCTGTTTTTATGTAAAACAAAATACGACAGGTATATAATTTCAACATGGCACACAGAACATAACCAATCACCTAACATTGCTCTCAACGATCTCAAAAGCCAATACACAAAACCTTAATTCAGACATCTTATAAGACGCATAGTGTCTTCCTTATCTAAACAGTCAGCAATCAAGGGTACAGTTTGAATTTTAAGTTTTCCACTTTACAAAATGATCCAGCATAAGACTCCCTTAAATAATCAGCTTCTCTAGAATCATTCTGTTTATAAAGCACTTAACTTTTCTGCTCATATAAATGAAGTTTTCTCACTTTTTTTTTTCAAGAACCCATCTGGTATACAAAAGGAGATACACATGTATACTTCCTTGAGAATAAATAAATGCTTTCAATACTTGTGACCCCATATGAATGTCACATGTTTTGAATTCTTTAGTAAAAAAAAAAAGTTTTAAACACCTTCTAGAATACAAGTGCTTGCCTTTACATTCATAGCTCTCTTACGATAAAATAAAGATCACTGTAACTGTAAGCTCTAGACTAATGAACTGCAGGGAACAGAAATAAGGAATCTGGCAAGAGCTAAGTAAAGCTCTGTTTAAAGACTACCAGTAAAATATACCAGCATTACCCCTCCCCCACCCCCAACCCTTAGAGGTTTCCATTAAGATAGGGCCTAGTTTTACTCTTACAAGGGGGGGACAGAGAGAGAAAGCACAGAGCTTCTGCTGAAAACTATCTTCATCAGGAGTAGCTCCAGAAATACTGCCAGGAACCATTTCTTTCCCTCTCTGCTGACACAGGTTCCTCTCTCTAGAGACAGGCATCTCCCCTGCAGCAGATCAACACCTATCTAAAGAAAAGTCTTATCTACTCAAGGATGGCATCAAATGAATAAAAAAAAAAAATCCCTAATGTTAGGTCAGCTGTAACATTCTTTATGAAAAGTGGAGCCCCCACAGCAATTCTTCATCTTTCAATCTCTCATATCAGTTCCTCATGAATTGAATAAGAAGGAATAAAGTTATTTAACAAGGTATATCTACTGTTTCAAAATAAACAAGTTCCGCCAATTGGTGAGAAAGATTCCCTCAAAACACTTAAAGAAAATGAAGCCTTGGCAAGCCTTTCAGAAGTCCTTGGAATCAACAGGAAAGAAGTAAAAGCTGATTTCTACTTTGAGTAGTGCTGCCACCATTCCTAAATGCTGAGGAGCCGACAGTGCAGTATCTCAGTCCCACATCTCCCAATACAGTCAATTTTTGCCCTAGTATACGAGCACCTCTTTGTGAACATATAGGGCAAGTCTTTCAGTCCACTATGATTAGCGAATAAATGCAGGCATGAGGCAAAAAAAAGAAAGAAAGCAAGCAGTGAAAAATTGATGCCTCTTTAAAAGGAGCCAAGAACGAAACAACCTCACTATGTAAGGAATTATAAGACATCAAACGTTAGATAATGGACAACAGGTGCCCTTGGGAGGAAAGAGTAACACTCAGTTGTCTCCTATTTTAGGATTTCCACTCTCAAAGAACTCTAATGTGTTTTTCTTTTCTTCCCACAGAGGCTCAGGGCCAAAATTATAGTTTTTACTATTTAACACCTGTAATGGGTCCATTGCTCTTCGACTAACTTTTTGACTTTAGATTTTAAAAATTCAACTAATCCCAATATGGCTGAATAAAGTGTGGCCTATGGCCAGATCATGCACTGATCCATGAGCATTAATCAACCAGGGATTTATTACCAAGAAAGGCGTCTGAATACAAACTACCTCCACATAAAATACCGAAAATACAAATCCAGCAACAGGTATCACATAACTGCAGAATCAGCCAAAGCAGAAACTGTTTCTCTCACCATCATAACAGTTGAGCTCAATCTTTAGAGTAACCAGATTCCAATGGCCTCAAAGAATAGTAATTCCAGACACAGATTATAGGGCGTTGAGTACCAGCCTCTAGTTCTGATTCCCTTAGCCAGTTACAAAATATACTACTACCTTTATTCTGCTGAAAGGGAACACTGAAAGGATACTGCAGCCTACTTAATAACCTCTTCCATTCCACAAAGACAACATATACCAAAAATGGAGAATCCTTTCTTTCCCTGACAGAGGCCCCCTTTCCTATGGAGTCACTGGGCAGAATGACTTCTCCCCAGCATGCTCGCAGAGCCAGAGAATACTTCTGCTTTCACTCTTCTTTTAAAGAGGGTCCCCCAACACAGATGCACCTCTTCCTTTCCTGTATTAAGCAAATGATGCTTCATTTCTTCTAGTTCTCTCCACCACTGCAAAATGTTCAGAGAAGTGGAAGAAGAGAAGGGAAGTTGTCATACACTTGGAGATATACTTAAAAGAAGTCTCCAAATTTAAAGTGAAGACTGGGGGGTGCCCTCTTCCTGAAGAGGGAATGGGGGTCCCTACCTTAAAAAGGGACCCCCTGCGTGGGTAAGGGGTGCCTCCACTCTGAAAGAGAGCTCAGTATGTGGAAAGGAAGAATGCTGTGCCCTTAAAGGGTCAAGGTTTCAGAAAGGGGTGCCCCAACCCTGAAGGTAGGTCTGTGGGGGGAGCCGTGATTGTATGGAAAGGAATGTACCAGCTACTGGGGGGCCTCTCTGAGAGAGGGGGTTTCCACTTTGCGCGAAGGAGGGCGCACTGAAGGGGACGCTGGGAGGAAGGGAGGGTCTTGCTGAGGACTGGGCATGGGGGGAGGGGTTCTCAGTCCACCGTAGCCAGCAGAGGGGCGGTAGCCTCGAGGGGAACATGTGCAGTGGAACTACTACCATCCCCAGGGGCAGGGTGGAGAGCAGGGCCTGGGCTGTGTGTGGAGAGAACAAGGCTCCCACTCCGCGGAGAAGACGGAGGACTCCCCAGCCGTACTCACCGAGACTGCCGGCAAAACCGTCCATCTTGCGGGGAAAGCGCCGGACTCGGGGCTCAGCGGGGCGGGCACTTCATTCAGCGGACCGACAGGGTGGCCGCCGCTGAGCCTGACCCGCTCGCTCTCTAGGCTGCCGGGCTCGGCTCCTAGCCCCCGCCTCCGTCGTCGGACCGTCCGCCCGTCCCGGGGCAGTCAGCCGCAGCCGCCCGGGCCACTTCCCCGTCAGGTTGAGAGCCGCGCCGCTCCGCCGCCTGCCCGGCCTCCCTCCCAGGCAGCAACCGCGAACGCCGCGCTGCGCCCCGCCCCCGCGCCCGCGCCCGCGCGCGGCGGTAGCTCCACCCCCGCGCACGCCGTCACGCTTCCGACTCCGCCTCCCACGTGACAACATGGAGGCGGGGGCTTGCAGACCCTTCCCTCTCACCTTGCTTCGGCCTCGCCTCGGGATCCGGCTGCCTCGCGCCGAACTGGTGGCTGCGCTTGCGCAGTGGTTCTGCCGAGGGCCTGGGGACTTGGGTTTTGAAGCTGGTTCCGAATGGGTCATGATAAGGGTTGGCCTCTGGCCTGAGATTCCCAGGAGCGTCGAGAGATTCTCTCTCATAGCCCCTTGGGGTTATGAGAGTCCCACTGGAGCCCAAGTCCAGAACCCCCCACCAGACAGAAGATGGTCGCCCCGTGTGTCCTACAAGGACACCAAGGAGGCAAACAAGTGAGAGAAGGACTGCCTTCTTCCCGGGTTCTCCCTCTACCCTAGTACGGGATATATGGGGGTGAGTCTTCCTGACTGACTCAAGGCCACGCCTGCCACAGTCTCAGAACTCAAAACGGACCGGAAGCAAGGAATGTTAGTGCTGGACAAGACCCAAGAGTTCATCTTGCCTCCTCTTCAGGGAGAACACTGAGCCTTAGAAAGGACCTGACCTGCCCAAAGTCATGGAGCCTGGTAGAAGCAGAGCTAGAACTCAGGCTTCCTTACTCCCCCTGGTGTTCTTTCCACCAGAGATGCAAAGCAATCCCTTATAGGGCATCTAATAAGATTGCCTATTAGTGAACTATAACAAAGGGTTTTAATGAAGTAAGCCTGAGTGTGACTAAGTAGGTGAGCATCAAGTCACTAAACTTACTTGGGACTCAACTTTATTCATTTGCAAATGGAAGGACTGGACTTGTAACCAAAGCATGTACATACAAACAACCACCTTCATCGTCCTCCTCCCTCTCCTGCTCACCCCTGTTCTCCATCCTTCTAAAGACCTTCCAGTGGCTTCCAAAGTTCTTCTTGGGACTTGGTTGTGTGGATCAGAGTAATGAAGAGGAGCACTGTAAGGTGCTCATGAACTAAATTGATGTATACAATAAGAGCTGAGTTAGGGAAGAATTTGCATCATTCTAGACAAATTGCAGGAGAAAGGAACAGACTGAAGAAGGGAGATGAGAAATATGAGGTTAGCAACTATCATAATGAGAAGGACTTAGTTAAAAGGATAGTTAAACATTTTGTTGCTGTCATGCAGTAAACTTCTCCCTCTGGTGCCTCTTTAAAAATCTTCCCTAAAAATCTAAATTACTTTTCATGTCTTTTGTGGTTATCAGACCTGTGTGTCTTCTGAATACCATACCATGTGGAGACAAGCCATAAGGCAGCCAAGATAAATTGAGGTTACAGACTAAATGGTGTCCAGAGTTTCCTCCTGTTTCAAAATTAAATTATTTACCCAAAGTTTCCTCTACCATGGGCATTTTTATATCTGTAAGTTTCTATTAAGTCTAACCACTTAATGTTTGAGAAGGCCTTAATTCTTACAGCTGCTCTTCTGTGTCTGCACACAACACTCTCTGCCTTAGGTCAGTTAAAAGAATAAGAACTTCCATTGATATACTACAATACATATATATATATATTTTAATTCAGAGAAGGATCCACATTTTGTGGGGCCTGAAGTTTTTCTATTTGTGGAGCCCTTCTAAAAAAACAAGCACAAAATTGGGTTAAATGGAGTATTTATTTGGATGCAGAAATCACAACAGATTACACGTTTTAAGAAGACTGCAAATTCTACAAATGTTATAAAATCAAGAAATACAACGTTCAATTAACTGCCCAACATAACTCCAATATTTTTTTTTTACTAAATTTCTTGGTTGCGTACACTTTATTTCTTCATATGACAATGATTCTTTTTTTTCTTTCTTTTTAAGATTTCATTTATTTATTTGACAGAGAGAGACACAGAAAGAGAGGGAACATAAGCAGGAGGCAGGGAGAAGCAGGCTTCCCACCGAGCAGGGAGCCCAATGTGGGGCTCTATCCCAGGACCCTGGGATCATGACCTGAGCCGAAGGCAGACGCTTAACGACTGAGTCACCCAGGCACCCCTCTCTTTTTCTCAATAGATACACAAGCAGGGGGGAGAGGGAGAAGTGGGCTCCCCACTGAGCAGGGAGCCTGATGTAGGACTTGATTCCAGGACTCTGGGATCATGACCTGAGCGGAAGGCAGATGCCCAACCGCCTGAGCCACCCAGGCGTCCCATGACAGTGGTTTTTAAATAACTCTTTAATAAAGAGGATAAAAAGATAACTTAGTTTTTCCTCTAGCACCGTTGACCAAATTTGTCTTTATTATTGGGATATAGTTGGAATGCATAAAAAACCACTTTGCACATATAGTACAGCTGTTTGTAGTGTTGCTGCAGGAATTCTGATTAATTCTATTTCACGTGATTCCCATTTAAAAAAAGAAAATAAAATGTATGGTGAATTTTAAACTATGCATACTGAATTATTGAGTATATTCCTGATAGAACTATTTTGTTTGACATCAGTGACAACCAAATATATATCATATATATAACAATTAGAAGGGGACGTCTGGGTGGCTCAGTCGGTTAAGGGTCTGCCTTTGGCTCAGGTCATGATCCCAGGGTCCTGGGATCAAGTCCCACATCAGGCTCCTTGCTCAGCGGGGAGCCTGCTTCTCCCTCTCCCACTCCCCCTGCTTGTGTTCTCTCTGACAAATAAATTAATAAAATCTTAAAAAAAACAATTAGAAAAATTTTCCCTAGTCTAGCTTCTGGCTTTTTATGTTTCAAACCTTATTTCTCCCATAAGACCCACATAATTTTTCAGTGCTACCTGTATGTTCATAGTGTATTATGACCCCTAGCCCCATCACATCCATGATAGGATGCTGGGTGAATCAGTGCAGTGGCCCACAGGAATTTTCCTGGAATCTATTGCTAAACAAAGACAGCCAGCAATAATTTAATTAAATGTGAGTGTAATCCATGTAAGTATCTCATTAAGCCTGAGATTAAATATATCCCCAACTCAACTTTCCGTTAGCTAGATACCTAAAATATCCAAAGCCACTACAACACCACCTGACCAAATGGGAAATATGACAAAGGAGAGATTATAGTGGAAAGACACACTTTCCTAGAGCCTTGGAAGAGACCCCTAGAGCTTAAGTTTCTTTAACTTCATGATTAATCTGCCTTTGTTTCAGTTACTTTTTTTTTTTAATAGAGAGAGAGTATGCTCGAGCAGAGGGGAGAGGGAGAGAGAAAGAGAATCTTAAGCAGGCTCCATGCCCAGCTTGGAGCCTGACATGGGGCTCGATCCCATGACGACAAGATCACAACCTGACCCAAAATCAAGATTGGATGCTTAACTCACTGAGCCACCTAGGTGTCCCTCACTTACTTTTATTTTTAAATAAAAATGCTCATCCTAACTAGTGAGGACAATCAAAAATTTAAATATATATATATATATATATATATAAAGGGCAAAGACAGGAAAAATGAAAAAAATGCTCGTGCAGAAAAAGGACAACTAGGAGGAGAAATATAGCAATTATTCCTCCACAGCAATTCCAGAATCCTGGAATAAGCATAATGCTTCTGTAACCAGAATGCTGGGATAAGCATTTTGAAGGGCAAGGAAAGTTCTTCATTTAAATCTTAATCTTCTGTCCACAATAGCCAAACTGTGGAAAGAGCCAAGATGTCCATCGACAGATGAACGGATAAAGAAGATGTGGTATATATACACAATGGAATATTATGCAGCCATCAAAAGGAATGAGATCTTGCCATTTGCAACGACGT